CTTTCAAGATAGCTTTGAAGTAACATATGACAGCAAATCATGGTAGTTATTTGATTTCCTTTTGGATTTAACTCAGATTTTGTTTCTCAGTTTATTTTGTTTCTTTCTCAGTTTATTTTTTTTTTGTTTTGCTGTTATTTACATCAAGGAATTATAACATCTATATAAATAGGTTCATTCACTTTCAAGTAGAATTTTTCTGTTTCAAAATCTTTTTGCGAAAAGAGGGGTCAGGGATGGAGGACTTTGATTTTATTTTTCATCTAGTTTTAAAATTTTCTTTGACAATTTGGAGAGAAAACATTTAAATATAAAAATGAAATGATGTGCTACATAAAGATGATCTGAGAAGATGATGTGAAGCAAGTTCTTTGATTTCGGCCCTTAGGGCAGTGTATCAAATTTTGGAGTGGCTGGAACCAACTCTAACCCCTTACAATACCATTGTTTGTATAGGGGCTAGCATCTGTTTGGGCCCCTTTCTGACCAATTAAGGCTTATCCTTACCAGCTGAGGGGTACCAAGGGATTCACATCGGGGAGTGTCATTGTTAAGATTTATACTCACAAATTATAGGAGGTAATTTGTCTGTCAGAAAGCTTGTGGGTCAAATGTCTGGAAGTCATTATTGAATCAGAAATCAATATGGTTTATTCACAATCTTTTCACATCCAAAGACATTGTAAAGGGAATGGTCTTGTTGTTATTGGAAGAAAGTCTGAAAAAATGATACATAGACATCAACACAGCTCACTACAAATTCCATCTGTATTTGATTATTTAAAATGTATAAAAATTTGTAGCATTTTCAAAGACTTCAGAAGTTCAAAATTTCCTGAAAATTAATGATATAACTAATTTAAAACTCAAGGTCAAAACCTGTGTATCCATTTGTTTTCAGTGTAGGACAGCTTGATAAGAGTAACAAGAAATATCAAATAAAATAAAGCTATATTTGGTACCAATACCATTAAGTAGTTTTTATAAAAATGGAAAAATAAAAGACAGAAAAGCGATGACACACATTTTATATCACATAATATTTCTGATGTAGGACATCTTTTCTGTAGAATGATTTCAATTCTAGCTCCTGAACATATCGTATGGCATCTACTGATGACAGTTTATTTATGGATGTCTTTTGTTGCGGCATATGATCAGAATCATCGTAAAGAGACTTAAGATGAGGAGAACTTGATTGTCAACACACACCAGGAATTGTGGCGGCTTCTTAAGTATCTCGCCGTCGATTGATCACGTCGACTTATATGTCATTGACCAACTAGCCAATCAAATGAAGCATTAGAAACTTGCAAATTAGGTGGTCGTACTGCAGATCCTTTTATCACCTCTGATATTGTTTGTCCACTTAATATGATCTCAGCAGTGATGTAGTATAGATTATCGGGTTTGAAGACACTCCAAAGACATATTCACAAGCTCACAATCTGTTCAGTTCGGTACACATTAATGGTTTTTATACCTGAATTACTCAACATAATTTTTTCTGTCTTATTTTTTGTCTTTTAATAATTATCTAAAAAAATATCTTCATTTATGCATTCATTTTTTTTTATTTCAGCTTTGAAATGAAAATATTGTTACATAAAATACAAGTCAGTTTGCAAAATCAAATTCAAATCATGCCTGATATGTTGTATCAATGGTAAATCATTAACTTTGGAAATAGAAAAATTGCAAATAAAACCTTAAACTTAGGGTTAAAAATTTCATTAAAAATCTAATCAGTGTGTAGTCACACTGAAGAATAGGAACAATTTGATTTTACATGACATCTTTTTACATAGCTCAGTTCTATTGATGACAACGGGACAAATAAAGACAATTACACGATGCCTTGATTTACGATGTAATATCCACTTGTTAAGCATAGACAGGAATATGAAGAGATTCTTTTACAATATTACATATCTTATTGATGTATAAAGGCTAGCGACAAGAGAAATGTATATCATTATGTCTTTTAGGGCACATTTTTTCTGTAATTTTAAGTTACAGGTGAGGGGTAATTCTGCTGCCACCTCAGGCCTTATGATATTGATGTGATACAGAGATGTCTAAAGTTTTTCTTCTTTAAAGATAATTTCCCATTTATAATATTGGTAATAAGATGGCATTCATATAACATCTTCCCCCAACACCCAAATGGCATTCATATAACATCTTCACCAACACCCTAATGATGTTCATATAACATCTTCCCTCACACCCTAATGGCGTTCATATGATATCTTCCCCCACACCCAAATGGCATTCATATAACACCTACACCAACACCCCAATGACATTCATATCTAAAACCTCCCCTTAACCACACAGGCATTCATATTTACATCTCCCTTACATCCTACTGGCATTGATATTTACACCTCTCGTACATCAGATTGGCATTCATATTTACACCTTCCCTACACCCCAGTGACATTCATATTTACACCTCCCGTATATCTGACTGGCATTCATATTTACACCTCCCTTACATCCTACTGGCATTCATATTTACACCTCCCTTACATCCTTCTGTCATTCACATTTTCATCTCCCTTACATCCTACTGGTATTCATATTTACACCTCCCTTACATCCTACTGGCATTCATATTTACACCTCCCTTACATCCTACTGGCATTCATATTTACACCTCCCTTACATCCTACTGGCATTCATATTTACACCTCCCTTACATCCTACTGGTATTCATATTTTCACCTCCCTTACATCCTACTGGCATTCATATTTACACCTCCCTTACATCCTACTGGTATTCATATTTACACCTCCCTTACATCCTACTGGCATTCATATTTATACCTCCCTTACATCCTACTGGAATTCATATTTACACTTCCCTTACATCCTACTGGTATTCATATTTATACCTCCCTTACATCCTTCTGTCATTCACATTTTCATCTCCCTTACATCCTACTGGTATTCATGTTTACACCTCCCTTACATCCTACTGGTATTCATGTTTACACCTCCCTTACATCCTACTGGTATTCATATTTTCACCTCCCTTACATCCTACTGGTATTCATATTTACACCTCCCTTACATCCTACTGGAATTCATATTTACACCTCCCTTACATCCTACTGGAATTCATATTTACACCTTCCTTACATTCTACTGGCATTCATATTTACACCTCCCTTACATCCTACTGGAATTCATATTTACACCTTCCTTACATTCTACTGGCATGCATGTTTCCATTTTCTGTTTCTTAGTTTTGTCCCTTCTTAATGGACATTAAACCAGCATAATGTTAATATTTTGTCAGACATACATTAAGGATAAACTACATGAACTCAGTTTTTTCATCAAATTACCTGTGTAAATTTTACTATCATTACCACAATAGGATAAGAACATTGCTGTTACTCATGATAATATGTTTTATGAAGCTGAGAGAATATGTGTGTTTTATCAATATCACTCATGATTACCTTGATATTGATGTAAAACATCATCCAGTAGGTGCCTCCCCATTAGGCTGGTGTCGAAAGATCAAGTGTTCTCATTGATTAAAGGTATCGGGTGATTTGGGCAGATAACAGAATTAATTGTCTTGGTTAATCTGTATTTTGTCGATGTAAAATTACAACTAATCATCATTGATATTCTAGCCATAAGATACTTACCTTTGTAACTGTAGTGTGTAAACATTAAGGTCTGTTTAGAATGGGTCACGATTTAGGGTAGGTGTCACTTACATTGGTTTTAGTGTGCTTTGTTAGATGATAAACATGAAAAGATCTTGTCATAATGGTTGGTAATGATTATCCTCAGTTTGTATTCCGAGGATGTACCCATATCACTTTTATGTATAATGTTTTAGCTGAAATATATCTGAGAGAAGTTTAACAATGATCTAAAATGTCAAAGGTAAAGTTTATGTTGTTGTTGTTACGCAGGCATGAAGATAGCCATACAGGTAAATTAAAAATATGGGTTATTAATCTAATAAAAAAACATCAGGCAGGTAAGCACATCTTCAGGTATGTGACATTACAGCAAGGGACAACAAAATTATTTATGTCAATGTGCATCTTCGGTATTTGACCCTGTAAAAATTCTGTTTAACTTCTGAACAGACTTTCAATCCACACAGGCATGATATTCAAATCAGTAATTCCAATTCTGTAATATTTTTCCAAAAATAAGGCATATTTGATGTTGGAAGTATTTAATTTGTTTAAATAAGATAAGTCTGACAAGACTCAAATCTTTAAAGTTAAACTTGGTCTTTAATCTTAAAATTTAATCTTGAAATTTAATCTTGAAATTTAATCTTGAAGTTAATGACTATATTTTTTAACTGAAATCTCATTTTTTGTAAAGACATTTCTCAGACTGTTGATTAATAAAAACTTCACTTTATCAAGATTATGAAATAATGTGAAATGTTAGAAAAAAATATGACTAAAAAATTCAAATGGCCATTATCAAGAAAGTTAAATCCATTGATAAATGTAATATCTTTTTATCAGTTATCAGCTGCAAAAAACAGATATAAAAAAACATTAATTTTTTCAGAAATTTCAATTTTACATTTTTATTTTTACATAATTAATCATATAGACTTGAAGGTAGTATTTAATGGTTGAATATATAGGCCAAGAAAATTTGATTTCACGTTTAAATTACATTATAAATTATACATAGATTAATTTCATTGTATTTATTTGTATATACTATATACAAGGAAACTGCTTCTCTTTTACCTCTCACACATTTGTCCCTTTTTTGTCAAAAGGACAAAAATAAAAATAAAAATTTTGATTATATTTGATGTTCTACCTGAAATGAATATTTTCATATATCTTAGTATGGGGATACTGAGCAATTTTAGGCGAGGGCAAAAAATATGCCAGAGTGAATGTTCCCCTTATATGCAGTTTCTAACTTAAAATTTGTTTTTACAAAACTGGACATTTTAATCATTGCTTTGTTCTGATTTCTACATTTTACAGGTATGGAAATGAAAGCAGAGTTCTACAGAGATTTTTATCTGGACCGTTACCATAGAGACGGTCCCCACCCGACCTATCAACGAAGAGGATCCCTCCAGCTGTGGCAGTTCCTTGTGGTTCTATTGGATGATCCCTCAAACTCCACCTTTATCTCCTGGACAGGGCGGGGCTTAGAATTTAAATTGATTGACCCAGAAGAGGTATAGTTCAGAATGTTTTTAAGTAATTTATATGTAACTCTGATTAAGACTAGAAATTTCAATCATGCAGCCCCCACCACTACAATCAGAGATCTGTGGACTAAAGGATTGTATTAGTTCCCCACAAGTACTGCTAGGGTCTAGGGACTCCAGGATTATAATTAGTAACCCACCAGTACTGCTAGGGTCTAGGGACTCCAGGATTGTATTAGTTCCCCACAAGTACTGCTAGGGTCTACGAACTCCAGGATTATAATTAGTAACCCACCAGTACTGCTAGGGTCTAGGGACTCCAGGATTATAATTAGTAACCCACCAGTACTGCTAGGATCTAGGGACTCCAGGATTGTATTAGTTCCCCACAAGTACTGCTAGGGTCTAGGGACTCCAGGATTATAATCAGTCCCCGATCAGTACTATCAGAGGTCCGAGACTGTAGGATTATAATCAGTCCCCCATCAGTACTATCAGAGGTCTGAGACTGTAGGATTATAATCAGTCCCCCATCAGTACTATCAGAGGTCAGAGACTGTAGGATTATAATCAGTCCCCTTCAGTACTATCAGAGGTCAGAGACTGTAGGATTGTAATCAGTCCCCATCAGTACTATCAGAGGTCTGAGACTGTAGGATTATAATCAGTCCCCCATCAGTACTATCAGAGGTCCGAGACTGTAGGATTATAATCAGTCCCCCATCAGTACTATCAGAGGTCTGGGACTGTAGGATTGTAATCAGTCCCCCATCAGTACTATCAGAGGTCTGAGACTGTAGGATTATAATCAGTCCCCCATCAGTACTATCAGAGGTCTGAAACTGTAGGATTATAATCAGTCCCCCATCAGTACTATCAGAGGTCCGAGACTGTAGGATTGTAATCAGTCCCCCATCAGTACTATCAGAGGTCTGAGACTGTAGGACTATAATCAGTCTCATCAGTACTATCAGAGGTCTGAGACTGTAGGATTGTAATCAGTCCCCCATCAGTACTATCAGAGGTCTGGGACTGTAGGATTGTAATCAGTCCCACATCAGTACTATCAGAAGGAAAGTTTACAGTCTTGTAAATATGTATTGTACTACTGGATTAGGTCCTTCTTGAATTTCAGTAAAGGTGAATGACAGTAAATAAATCAGAATCATCCTTAAAGTTTTGTATCCATACCTCCAGAGACCGTCACATTCTCATGTGTCTTACACTGATCCTCATCCAACTTTTGTACTGATGGTTATCGACAGCATCAGAATTAAACCTCAGAAATGAAGGTAAAATATTGTGATCAGAAATAAAAACATGTAAAACTTAATTATAAACATTTGAACTTATAATTTGTCTATTGATAGGTTGCCAGACGATGGGGCTTGCAAAAAAATCGCCCCGCTATGAATTATGACAAACTGAGTCGATCACTGCGCTACTATTACGAGAAGGGCATCATGCAGAAGGTGGCCGGCGAGAGGTATGTGTACAAGTTTGTGTGTGACCCAGAGGCACTGTTTTCCATGGCATTTCCTGACAACCATCGCCCAATACTTAAAACAGACTGTTCCCGCGAAGAGTTTTTCCGTGATGCTGGGAACCAAGCACTAGATGGACAACCATTAGCGATCACTGCCTCCAATGGACCAACAGGTCATATGACAAATATGGCTACCAGCCACATGAACCCTGGACATTTTCCATCAGGTCACATGACCCCCACACATAGTTTAGCAATGTTGTCTCCCCCTGTTCACTCAACGAGTGTTCAGTCTCCGGAGCAGCACAGATTTCTACAAGAAATGCAACGCATGTATAGTTCAGGGCCCTACATGGACAATTGTGTCTACTGAACTCGTTGCTGTTGGTGTTGACAACTTTTGTATCATAAATATATATATACTTGTAAATAAATGGACATCTGAATCTGTTGTAATAAAACAAATCTACAGTCAATTTTTCATATGTAAGAAACTTGAGCGGGACTCAATAATAACCAATGACAACCAAAAATTAGAGATATTTTTTCATGAGTCACAATGGCACTTTTATCTCATCTACTGTTATAACAAAAGATTTTGTGCCATAATTTCAAATTAAAGTGCTTTTTAAAAATATTTTGCTATCATTTGAACTTGCTTTTTGTACATATAGCCAAGTTGAAAGGATCTAAATTGAAAACATCTTAATTTAACCTTTTTTTGTATTTTCTTTTTCATTTTAACATGCTGCATTTGACCACATAAATAGCATGGGTAATAAGAAAATGCAAAAAAAAAAAAAAAAATCATTTGTTGCAAAACTTTCTAAAACTCTAAAAGTTTTTTTTTTTTTCATAAACATCAGTTAGCTATGACAAAGAGTGTTGACACATTATGGGTGTTTTTATGTGATAGGAGGAACTTGTTGTTTAAATTAATGTATGTGTTGTTTTCTATTTGAACCAATCAGTTTTTGAGTTAAAATAAAGGTTTTCGATGTCCTACTGTGTACCATCAGTATCTTTAAAAGCAATATGATTTTCATTGCAACCGGTGGTCAGTCTTGGGGCATGAAGGCCAACAAATACCAGATTAAAGTATACACATATTAAAAATCATTATAAAGAGTGATATATATTTATTTAAAACTTTGTATATTTGTATAATTAACAATGCAGTATATTGCTAAATATATGACTGATAATGTCTCCACTTTGAGACCATCAGTGTATATAAATATTTATTTATTCTAGGGTGGGGTTGGGCTGTATAAGTTGGAATAAGAAATTCTTAGTTACTTTAATGATAATATTGTAATGCATATTTACATATCTTTAAGTGCTAATCAATACTTGCACTTTTTATGGACATTAATTGATTATGTAAATGTCCATAGATTACAGATATGTGAAGAAAAAATGTCCAGTTAAATTGACTGAGAGTATTCATAAATGATAAAAAATTATAAAACATTTTTTTCAAATCTGTTGTTTTGCTTTTAAATTTCAGCAAGCTGAAAAAACATAATGCCAACAAACCATTTTTTGTTTTGAAGATTAAGTTTACATTTTAAGACAATACAATAATTTTCTATAAATGTTACTTGTTCATTTGAATTATCTGTGATAAAATAAAAGCATCATCATGATTTCAGATTTCTCAGATGAGTTCCTTAAAGGCTTCCTCATTGGTAATTTTATGGAACATTTATATAAAATTGACATTTCATGTGATAATGTGCTATGTAATTGTATATTGATATTCCCTGAAACCTTTATGTTTAAAATCCCAAGAAATTAATGACATGATAATATGAAGTTTAGGAAAAAGACAATTAATTAATTAGTTTTACAAAGAATTATTTCTTAAAAGAAAGGATCACAAACAAAATTATTTACTCTTCAAAGTATTTTTCATTAGCTGATCACTAATGAATATGATTTTTCTCAAAACTGAGATTTAGGGCGAAATGAAAGGGTAGGTTTGTCAATCAGTCGAAGGGAGGCAATTCTTTTTTTTAAAAAATAATTGTCAAGGGGAGATAACTCATGCTGCCTTTTTGTATATGTCTTATAATTCATGTTCGTTAGAAGAGATGATTATAGATCAGGATATTACAAAGAAAATGTGTTTTTATGATTGTATCAGCAGATTCTGATGAAAGTATCATATCTTGATATAATGATTTCTCAATGAATTGAATGTATATTGTTATTTCATTATATATAAATATATACAACAGATTTATTCCTAGGAAATTAGATGAATTATCATTGGAGGGAGGATGAACAGTTATCTATGTGGAAACATTTTTTGTTGCAGTTTATACCTTCTGTATGTTAAAAAAATGTTCTTCAAAAAAGGTTAGGTTTACAGAGGCATCAAGTTAGTTAAATTTAACAATATACTTTCAAAATTTACATTTTCCCTTTTTTTTTTCTTTTTTTTTTTTGTTAAGTGTTATTTCCGTACCTCATCATCAGTAGGGTTTTTTAATGGTTTATCATATATGGATGAAAACATCTTTCATATATGTATATACATATGTCGTAAATATTTGAAGTATAATTTAAAAACTTATAAACTGTGTATGACATATTAAGTTATTATGAAAAAAATATATATTTCAATAAGTGTTAATTTCCTTGAATGAATGAATGGCAGTTACGATACAAGACAATTCCTATAAGTAGGGACTTTTTAAGAACTATTAATCTTTCAATAGATGAATCATTTCAATTTTTTTTTAAATATTAATTTAATATTCATGTTAATATTGCATTAAACATACAATGTGAGAAAAAGTATATATCTTACAAATTTTACTCAGCATCATAAGTTGAAATTGCTTTTCATTTATTTTCAATATTTTGAAGATTAAAAGATATTTTGTATGTATTTCTAAAATATAGCTTCATGATCAATTTTTATTTCATCAAATTTTATTTCTGATTATCGTCATCAAAGTTGATGTCATCATTGAAATAGATCATTGATTTGATATCTAATCACCTTGTTACTTGTTGATTAATCACTTTGTGTTCATTTCAATTTCTCAAAAATTCTTAATTGTTGATAAGTAATCATGTGTTTTATTTCATAAGCTACAATTTTGTTTAGTAAATGTTTACAGGAACTATATAAAATACTGAATCAGCCATGTATTGTTGCCAACTTACCTTCTTAGGTGAGGTTGGCCTGACATTTACCATATTGTCACCTGTACATCTCTTGAACAATATACTTAGAGTCATCTGATATTTCTGTGAGAAGTATTTCAAAATCAGTTTTTGGACCAATCTTATGATCAAAATAGTAATCAAATTTAACTTAGATTGTCATCTAAATACCTAAAATAGAATTCATTACCAATTTTCTTTTTCCTTGATGATGTTTTAAAACACTCATTCACTCTTTATTTTAAAGGGCTACAGCCAGATTAGAGGTTGGTAACACTACAGCGAGTCCTTTATTCAATTTGTTGAAAAGCAATGGGCTTAATTATGATATAGAAATTTAGAGTAAAGAAATTAATGGAAATTAAAGTGATCAATCATTTGATGTCTTTAAATTTCTAATTCTTCAGCTCAAACTTTTTAATGGAGAGTGAATGTTTTTATGACTGATTTACTATCTCTTGTCTAGATTGTGCTGCAGAGATTGACAACCAAATGTCACTGAAATATACCATGTGTCACTAATTTACTTGTTTTCTTGTGTAAATATTTATTGTCCTTCAAAATGTAGAATTATTTATAGATTAAACAATTTCTAAGAAATTCCTTTGTGATGTGTTGTTTACTGAGATTTTAATGTTTTCCTATAGCATCTTGTAGTAGAGCAGTGTTGGTCCAAAGTAATAAGGATAATCCCCGAATCGTGTAATGTTGCCAAGATATACTGAGGTTGATTCATTTCTTAGTATGATGGTATATGTGTTAAATATTTAAACTTCCTTGAAAGATATCTTCGAAGGATAAAATAGCTGTGTGATACGGTTTAATTTGTAATTTAGCTAATTATCAATTTGTACCAATGGAGTAATAATTTTCGTGTTTTTTTTTAACAAATTATTATTTCTGGGACACTTGATTTCACAGATAAATATAACTCAATAAATATATTTATAAAATAGTTCATTGACATGAATTTGTTGATTAAGAGTACCCACCAAATAAAACATAAATCTCCCACCTCAGTTAATGATTTTACAATATTGGTTAGTATATCTAATAAAATGAACAGGAACACCACAGGGTTTAAAAACAACTGAGCAAAATTATAACACATATCCTCTACACCTGTCATCAAATATCAATATCAAGGAATTTCTGTGCTCTATCTCTTGTCAGGTATAATGTGTACACTGTTGTCAGATATAATGTGTACACAATTGTCAGATATAATGTGTACACTGTTGTCAGATATAATGTGTACACTGTTATCAGATATAATGTGTACACTGTTGTCAGGTATGGTGTGTACACTGTTGTCAGGTATAGTGTACATTATTGTCAGATATAATGTTTACACTGTTGTCGGATATAGTGTGTACACTGTTGTCAGATATAGTGTGTACACTGTTGTCGGATATAGTGTGTACACTGTTGTCAGATATAATGTGTACACTGTTGTCAGATATAGTGTGTACACTGTTGTCAGATATAATGTGTTCACTGTTGTCAGATATAATGAGTACACTGTTGTCAGATATAATGTGTACACTGTTGTCAGATATAGTGTGTACACTGTTGTCAGATATAATGTGTACAATGTTGTCAGATATAATGTGTACAATGTTGTCAGATATAGTGTGTACACTGTTGTCAAATATTATGTGTACACAGTGTATACACTGTTGTCAGATATAATGTGTACAATGTTGTCAGATATAGTGTGTACACTGTTGTCAGTTTAAATGTGTACACTGTTGTCAGGTATGGTGTGTACACTGTTGTCAGATATAATGAGTACACTGTTGTCAGATATAATGTGTACACTGTTGTCAGATATAGTGTGTACACTGTTGTCAAATATTATGTGTACACAGTGTATACACTGTTGTCAGATATAATGTGTACACTGTTGTCAGATATAATGTGTACACTGTTGTCAGATATAGTGTGTACACTGTTGTCAGATATAATGTGTACACTATTGTCAGGTATAATGTGTACACTGTTGTCAGGTATGGTGTGTACACTTTTGTCAGATATAGTGTTTACACTATTGTCAGATATAATGTGTACATTGTTGTCAGATATAGGTGTACACTGTTGTCAGATATAATGTGTACACTATTGTCAGGTATAATGTGTACACTGTTGTCAGGTATGGTGTGTACACTGTTGTCAGGTATGGTGTGTACACTT